TTACTCTGAGTAGCTAAGAAAGAAAGGCAGATTTTTGGCTCACTTGTGGTCATCTGGCCTAGAACTTCCTCCCTCCTCAGTGTATTTCAGAGGAACTGTGAGATGCCCCAAGAGCAGAAGGCAAAGTCTGGCTGAACCCATTTAATAATCTTCCAAACAGCTTGAGATGCCTTTAATAATAATAATAATAATAATAATAATAATAATAATAATAATAATAATAATACATGCAGGTGTTAGACAGGATTTTCTAGACCCACAAAGCAAGTGACTCTTAAAGGTTTCACATTGTCTTCAAGTCCTATACAATGTATTTAATGTTGGAATCCTTCCCCCTCCAAAAAAAAAAAAGCAAAAGTGCAAAAGATCAGAACTTAAAGTAAAACTCCATTTTCATATTGTTCCACAACCGCAGTCTTCCCAGACTCCGTTGAAACCTGCCAGCAATAAACTTGGGCAGCTTTCTAATTCTGTCAGCTAGACCTCATTTCCAAATATGAAAAAGACCCAGGAAGCTTGTCCTCTTTGAAGGTCTCGGCTTCCCCAGTCATGAAAATGCCCTTCTCCTTATGGTTAGTAGATTTGTGCTTTGCCCCGTTCCACATCCTGCGATCCATTTCCTAGTCAAGCTACACGTGGGGCACAATACTGTGAACACAATTGTGGGAAAGTGTGGTGTTTTCTTTCTTTTCCTCCCACTGGAAGACATGTAGAAGGGAACTGTGGTCGTTACTCATTTTTATTCCTCTTGCTTATATCCAAAGACTTTCCAAACTAGTCTAGTTGAGGCATCCATGTTCTCACAGGACTGCTGCTCACTCCATCTGTGTCCTAGTCAATTCCTCCTTTATCCCAGGCACTGGCGCATTGACACTGACACATTGATGTTCTCCTTGTGAGAATTAGCCTATCACATTCATTTACATCCACTTAATTGCTGCTGCTATTGTTTAGTCCGTTAACCTCCAGCTAGGGTGCAATTCACGTGAACACTGGGGAAGCACAACCATTCGATTAGTTCTGCAAAGCAGATTAAAATCTTCTGCCTAATTGGAGACTGTCCACACTGCTGCCTGCCTTCTAGCTCTGGTATGAACATGCCGTGCATCTTCAAACAAGGGTTCTCGGTTGGAATATGGCAGCCCTGACCTGAATGGATAGTGGTTTGTGAGTATGCCTCTCTGCAGGGCAGCACTCTGTTAGGGACAGTCCTGGCAATTATCACAAGCCTGGTCTCTGCCAATTAGCAACTTGACTCATTCATTCTTGTATACACACAACTGGAGAACCCATAGCTTGGCGTGATAATATTATATTATTAGTTTGCCAAACTCATAAGAATTTCATTTTAGATTGCAGTCACTTAGGAAAATCCTTATGAAACAGTTGTATAGTTTGGGGAAAGGTAATGAGAATCAGGAATACGGCTTATAAATAAATCTCACTTGATTCAAAGCATAAGGCCCTATTGGACATGACTAACATGACAGCCAGGCTGCTTTGGTGACTAAGTTGTTGTATGGTGGTAATGAGGGAAGTCTTAACATTTTCTTGGCAATGTATCTTTGCTTTGTTTCTGCTGAAATGAGGTTCTTTAAGATGCATGGATTTTGGTTTTTCAAAATGGGTTTTTTCTGCAAACCAGGCTGGCCTTAGGGACCCTCCTGCCTCTGGCCCTGAGTGCTGATACTAAAGGTACATACCACCAAGCTTGGCTAAAGTGCTTGAAGATGTTGAATTATGCTTTATCTAAAATATGAGAAGCTTAGATCCCTACCCTAGAATTCAAGAATTGGAAGTAGGTCAGATTTCTTCATTTTATCTAAAATACTTGTCTCAATTTACATTCAACCCATCTCTCTGGCACATTTTCTGACTTTCCTAAAACTTATCTAACAGATAACACTCAAAAGTACTTGAGCTTTTATAGCCTAGCAACCTTATGATGCTACTCTGGCTAATGCAGGCCTGGGGAGTGTTCTTACAGATATGATGGTCACATATAAGAAGTGCTTAGATTGACCTTTGAAGCCAATCTGAGATGCAATCTAAAAGCATACTACATGGTGAACATCAATCACATCATTTAATTGTCTCAGCAGAAAGCATGTTTTACATCTCTTTATAGATTTACTGGGGCTCAGAAGGGTTCAGTGACCCATATGAGGTAACATAGTCATATGTAACAAGTCATTGAATTGAAATCCAATTCTAAATGCCTGAAAGACTATATCATTCCTCCTACCCCTAAAGAAGAGAGAAATCATGAATTGCATCTTCAAGAAGGAGTAAATGTTCACAAGATGGACAAGACGGGAGTCAATGTTTGCATCAGTTGGTGACTGTGAGTCTAACATCAAAGCAGCAAGAGCACAGGAACGTTGATGGAGGGATGAAAGGCGCTGTGTTAAAGCTTGTTAAAATGACAAGAAGTCTCAGAGTGACAAATAAAAAGAGCTGGGACATTTCGATCAGCTTGTGGCTAGGACCAGGGACACACTGAGGCTAACTTGAGAGCCAAGAATTCTGGAATTTAGAGCCATATTGGTGAGTCTCCTCTGAACATGCCAAGCAAGGAGAATATCAAAATCTCCTTGTATTCTCTACAGAGGCTGAAGAAGTGGTAATTACACACAAGCCCATAAGTGAAGCCTGTTAGGGACCGAAGTCTTTGACTAGTTTATCAATGCCTCACCCTCTCCTCCCTGATCTGCCTTCCCACCTTACATAGAAAAAGGGGAACAAGAGAGAGAAGGTTGAAACAAAGACACAAAATTATAATTATCCCTCACATTGGAAGAGCCCAAGGGGAAGAACAGAACTGGGGGTTCCATTTTATGTTAAAATATTTTCATTAGTAATCAAGGCAGAAACTATTTCCTAACACAGCTTCTATATCTACAACTTTATTAGCATATTATAATAACTACAGAGGCATGGGCTTCATTTCAGAATCTTTGGGCTTCTTGGAGTTGGCTGCTATAGAAAAGACAGAGACAGAAGAGAAAAAGATGAAGCCCCAGCCCTTGTCCCATCTCCTCACATGTCTGTACTTACAAGGGCCCTCACATGAGAACACATTCACAGCATCTTCATATCTCCATAGTCTGGTGCCTCAGGGATCCGGGCACAGATGCCATTGGTAAGGATTATGGCAAGAGAACTAGCCCAGGAAAGGGAAGCTTACAGACCCTGCATGTTATTTACTGTTCTCATTGCCCTGACAAAGTGCCTGAGATTGACATCTTAATTAAGGAGGAGTTCTTTTTTTGCCTTGTGGTTTCAGAAGGTTTTCTCCAGGATTGTTCATCCCTGTTTGGGAAGACTATCATGGAAGGGGGAGTGTGTTGTTACAGAGAAAGCTATTCACTTCATGGCATCAGGAAGTAGAGAGCGAAGGGGCTTTGGATCAGATTCACCTTTAAAGACCAGTCCATAACAACCTCCTTTCTCCAGATGGGCCACCTTCTGGAGTTTCCAGGGGCTCTCAAGGCAGTTCCAGCAGCTGGGGACTAAGTATTTCACACAGGAGCCCACAGTTGTCAATCCATATTCAAATCCTAATGCCCTGAAAGTGGGTCTAGCACCAGGGCAGGGAATCCGAGGTCCTCATATAAAGCGTGACCTAGAAGTAGAGGTTCAGGATTCAGTTGCAAAAGTCCATTAGTCCTTTGGACCACTGACCCTTTAAAAAGGAATAATTGGGGCAAGAAAAGTAAAACTAATGGCCCAGCAAAGCACACTTCTTAAGGCAGGGACCATTCTTCCCTGTATCTTAAAATAGTACTATACAAAATCCTATATCAACATGCCCTGTTTAGGTGCCAGACTTCTGTCTTGGTGATTCAGTAGTCCAAGCCTTTCGGGAGGCCACTATCATATCAGAACACATGGAAATCTACACAGGGCACAGTCAGGTTTGCAATGCACAGTGAAGTCCTTAACAACAGAAGCATATATGTTAACCTTCTTAATTTGCAAACAGTTAAATGTCTTTCCAACTTGCGTGCAGCTCACAGTGTTTGCATGTACAACACATACATGAAGATTCAAACTGCCAGAAAACAAAGGAATAGTTTTGAAGCCTACTAATTTATTCTACTACAAATATATACATGTATGTGCATGTGCACGTGCACACACACACACACACACATACATACACACATACACACACACAAAAGCACATACAGAGAGAGAGAGAGACAGGGACAGAGATGTTCTTTAATATTTTCCTGATTAAACATTTGATTCAGCAGAAAATCTAACCCAGGAACCCTGCCTCCGTCTACCTGTAGATACAGAGCTTGTTCAATCAGAAAAGTCCTGGTTGCTGCAGGGAGCTTTTCTGCGTGGTCTGGCTCTGGAACTACACTGGCTTCACACACAGTGATTCACCTTCAGCCCTACTGAAGAGAACCCCTTCCTCTGAAAGGATCATCTCTGTTGACCAAACTTAATGTTCTCTCCCCAGATGCCTTCCATGCAGCTTCTGTGTGTAAAGGTTGAAGAATATCAGTTTTCTAGTGGCAGGATTGGAAACAAAAACAAAACCTAGACACTGCATTAAGAAAACATGGGGAACCACATTCATTACCAGCCCAGACAATGGCATAATAGCTATTTTCTGCACCCTTTTTAGTCAAGATTTTATCACAATTTCTCATTGAGCTGCACCTAAAACTGCATCATTATTGATCAGCAGTGCTTCATGGAGAACTTACGATGTTCCAAACCTTGGCTCAGTTCACTTCATGAGCTCCCCTCTTACTAGATGACCATCTTATGAAGCCTGAGCCTCATTGTCCCACTGTTCTTATCTTTATAAAGACACGAACATGAACATTCAGAAGCTGTGTGTCCAAATTCACATTGCTAAGTCACAGAATCTTGAGTCAAAACCAGACATCATGAGCACATGGGCCTCCTGCTTCTCATCAGTGCTTTTTTGCATGTGTGAAACATATTTCCGAAAGACACAAAAAGAAGGCAAATTTGTGTTTACCTTTTAATACAGCTGTAACCAAGCATGAATGAAAAGAATGAGTCAGTATCAATATGAGGTAAGGGGGACCGTATTTACTTTCCTTCCCAAAACAATGGAAAACAAAAGTAGCACATGATTATATATGTATATATCCATATGATCATAGGCATGCATATTAATTATATTACTACATCTATAGGTAAGAACTTAGTTTCAAGGCATTGGATATTAGGCAATAAAATAGAGTAATAACTGAATGAAAAGTAGCAAACAAACCACCTTGAGAATGTCCCACATTATTCTCTGGCCAGTGTACTTAGGCTACAGACTAGAAGGCAACCCACACCAAAATATTTTCTACAGAGAAGGAAAATGCATTTCTATTCAAATATTTGACCATGTGTGCATATCAACAGTTGCATTTGTGATATACCCAAACTGGAAACAATTCCTAATACATAAATAAACCATAACATGCCCAAATGATGAGTCCTCAGTAATAAAAACGAAGCAGTTATTGATTTGTGCAACAGATAAATGAATCACAGATAACTCTCCCTAGTAAAAGAAACTGAACAACAAAAGAGGGCAAGCTATATGGTCCTTTTATGTAAAATTTCTAAAACTGCAAATGAATATGAAATTACAAAGCAGAGCAGGGGGAACCTGGGCAGGAATGAAGGACTGTGCAGGAAACTTTGGGGTGATAGGTATGTTCATTGGCTTATCTGTGGTGATGGCTCCATATGAACCCTCATATGCCAGAACTCATCAAACTGTACATTTTAAATATGTGCAATTTATATTATGTCAGTTTTGCTGAAATAATGATGTTTTCAAAAATAGAATACTTTAATTAATAAGATGAAAGTTTCTATATTTTCTGTTTTATAACCATAGTGTATAAAATGTGTAAGAGCAGGGATATACTTTACCTTATTCAGACATGATTTCTAATGCCCCAAATTGGGTGCCACAATTGCTACTTCTGAATAACAAATCTCCTCAAATGTAGGTGCATAAAGTGTCCATGTGCTTCGTCGTGGAGTCTCTGTACCCGTGATCAGGGCATAGTGGGGTGATGTCCATCTACTTTGTGATATTCAGGGTCTGAACACAGGGTAGCTCCTCTGCATCACTGGCCTCTGTGTGCTGTCAATGGTGGAGGGTAGCCAGACATCAAATGAATCAGTTCTAGGCTCCCAAGAGAGAGCCAGGAGAAAGCTGGGTCCCAAAAGCTTACATTCACTTCATCATTTCAGTTTGAAGATGGTAGAAAGATTTTCTCAGTTTGAAGGTGAAAGGATGCAAATCCCACATATTGGCCCATCATTTTCAACATATTTGTCAACACTGTAAGAAGGACACATGCACAGAAATATGTAGTGGTAGAATCACATACTTATTTATTTATTTAAAATCAGGTCTTTCTATTTGGTAGTCTTGGCTATCCTGGAACTCACTATGTAGACCAGGCTATCCTAGAACTCACAGGGATTCTCCTGCCTCTGTCTCCCAAATGCTAGGATTAAAGGTGTGTACCACCATGTCCAGCTAATGTAGCCATATTTAAAATTATACTATGTCACACAGTGTCATCTAAATGAATATCATTTGTCAGGATTTTGCAGTTTCACAAACATTCATCCTACAAAGACTATACCCTTTTATATAATAGGGATCAAGGAAGAACACACTATCATACACCATAGCAGGTGTATAATTTAGTATAATGAGTTTAATATGATGAATACAGGAGAAAATATAAATAAGGACAATTTGGCATATATGGCTGAAGTCTTGGAGAAGATATTTTCTACTTTCAGGATCCACTGGAAGAAACCATAATTCCTACCCATGGTCTGTAGTAGATCCTGCCCCACTGTGACCAGTCAGATGAGGATTTAGTGAGTAATGAACAGCATTACACCAATCACTCAACAATGTGTATAGAACACTGATGTATAACTAAATTCATGTGTATAGGGTGTATGTGTGCACATATGTGTGGGTGAGTGCAACACAGGAAGGTGCTGGGTGCCTTTCTCAGTCACACCCAGCCTTACTTGCATGAGACAGTTTTCTCAACCATCTAGAGCTAGGCTGGTATCAGGTGAGCACAGTACTGGGGTTACAGGTGCTCATGACATTCCTGGTTTTTTATATGGCTTCTGAGGATTCAAGCTCAGGACCTAGTGTGTCCAGCAAGGGCTCTTACCTTCTGAGCATTTTCTCTAGTCCCTAAATTCTATTTCAATATGGAATTTTAGAGCCAGGAGTAAACTCAGCAGTCCTTTAAATAGTTTGCTAAAGATTATAACCCTACTTATTGCATCTCTAAAAGTTCACATGATATTACAGATGCCTACTCTGGTATTCTATGTGTAGGAGATTGTGGAAGTTGGTTCAGTGGGAATTACTTCATTGGGAGAATATTTTGTGATACAAAATGAAAAGTGTGTTTACATACATCTTAAACCTACAACATTGCCCTCATCTTATTTATAAAGCACAGGCTCTGCTATTATTTTTATGCACTGGTAGATTTTGGCACTTCTGTGGTTTCCTTTGATTTGTGATTTACTATATTGACTAATCTTGAAGAAAGAAATCTACAGTAAATAAACAGATTGATATTTGTCCAGCAAGAATACATGCTCTGAAGTCTTAGAATATGTGTTACAAAAACAGGAAAGAAAAGATGAGAAATTCAATTTCATTCCTTACCAAAACTTCTAATTGGATCTTAGTCTCTCTCTCTCTCTCTCTCTCTCTCTCTCTCTCTCTCTCTCTCTCTCTCTCTCTCTCTCCACCTCTACCTCTCTTTCTCTCTCATCTGTGAGTCTCTTGATAATAAATATGGCAAAGGGAGTTAAGTTCATGCTTCAGAGCTAGAAACATTTCCATCAAAGATGGGCTACTAATCATGAAGTAAAGAGGGGAAAAGCCATTTGCTTTTTTGTGGCTCTGCCTCTGCTGTGGTCCTGCCAGGCCTGCCTGAACATCAGCGGAGTTCAGTGGTAATTAAAGCAACAGTGTTGTGAGAAAAGTGTGAATTACTTTTACGGGGAGCCTTGGATGTTGCTCCTGACTGACAAAGCACAGCGGGGGGCCTCTGCTGGGTATTAAAGAGTGACAGTCGTGGGCCTCAGAAGGTGGCTTCCCAGCACAATGCAAAATTGTGACTTTTCACAAGTTGGTATCTCTGCCACCATCCGCGTTATCGGCTCAAATTTTAGATTTGTATTTTTCCGCTTTGGCATGTCTATGAACAAGACTATGCCACATTCAGGAAATGTGGTCTGGTTGCTAGAATTATGCAGAGCTAAGCTGTATTCTGTCTTTCTTTTCCCTGGATTTTTAACTCTATTATGGAATTATTTCAGCCTTGAAGGTTATTGAAAATGTAAGGAAAAAGCAATGAAGGGGTCACCTGCTTAAGCCTCATAGCAAGTTATTCTAATGCTGAGTGTCAAGGCTGTTTCTGTCATTTTTGTTTTTTAAAAAATTAATGTGTGTGTGTGTGTGTGTGTGTGTGTGTGTGTGTGTGTGTGTGTGCGTGCACCATGGAGCACATATGGAAGTCAGAGGATAACTTGCAAGGTTTGTTTTTCTCCTTCCACTATGTGGGTCTCGGGGCTTCAGATCAGGTCATTAGGCTTAGCAGCAAGTGCTTTCAGCAGAGGAGCCATCTCACCCGCCCTTTTCTATCATTTTTTAAAGAGAAGTGAAGACGAGCACTCTGTTAACAATGCTCAATGGATGCAGCTTTGTGCTCTCAGGATATAAGCGCCTGGGTAGGTGGACTCCTTGGATCCAGTCAGGAAACGGTCAGATGGTGCTCTGTGTGGCTCCCACACAGATGTGATACACGTTGATTCTGCTCCTTGTCTAACAAGAGGGAAAACGGCATTAGCAAAATCTAATAAACCACCTTCTGCAGATGTGAGGCAAGAAAAGAAAATAGCTCAATGGACTATTAATCACTTTTCCCTTCACAAGTGAGCATACACTATCAGGATGCCTGAGTCAGCTTCACAGAACAGGTGTGGTCTGTGGAAAGGTATCACCAGTGTAGATGCGGCAGCTCCATGTGCACAAAGGAGGGCCGTGTGAACTCACAGGTATGTGAGTCAGGAATGGTTCTGTGTTAAGATTACAGAACAGAAGTTTAACTGCCAGGTAATATGCATTTTTTTTTTTTTTTGGTTAACACACTGTCCATAAATAAAAGGACAAAAAGTGACCCCATCCAGTGTAACCAGTAGATTAGTGTGTGGATCCATGGGCTCAGCCAAGCCAAAGCCAAGTGGCATCATGCATAACGGTGGCTATGAGGTTGGACAACAGAGTCCTGATGTCCACACACAAACTGTGCAGCTCTAATTTCTTCATGAGCAACAGTGTTATAAAATTTACTCCATCTTTTTTTTTTTTTTAAGATCGGGTAAATTAAAATGTAAAGGACATTTTAAGAAAATATCTTGCATTTAGGATGTAGTTGACAACCCTACCTTGTCATTGTCACCATTCAAACTAGGTGCTATGATGAAGCATACAATTCACAGAATCCCCTTTGCTGTTAGATGTACTGACTGTGATTTGTTAAGCAGTAGGCTAATATTTTTAAGTAGAAGGATATGAAATGGCATTTAGGGGATGACACTGCAAAATGCCAAACAATAGATGGTTTCAATAGACAACAATCATATAAACAGAACAACTGGGGTGCTCTAAATGACATTGTTTCACCCCACTAGTACAAAGTTTAATTAGTATATAAATAGCATACTCGTTTACAGTTGACATAATGCCACCTTTTCTCATGCTGAGCTGTCAGGGCCTGTGAAACTGTAAAATTTCCGACACTAAACAGTTGTTGTAAACTGATCCTTCCCAAAGTAACCTAACTAAAACTGAAAAGACAAGAAACGTAGAAATTATTTAAAAATAAAAGGCCACTACTCAAGTCTGTTAGAGAAAAAGACCCAAATTGCTTTGGGAGAGAGATTTACCACGTTATGTTGGGCTGAGGGTACACTCTGTAAAAGAAAAAAAAAATGCATGAACCACCAACCCCAGAGTGATGAAAAGCAAAATGGGTAAGAAAAAAAAAATACCCTCAATTGACACAGCTATTTTCATCACATCAAATCAGCCATCTGTTCTTGACACAGTTTATTATCATTAGGAAGACTTTCTCAGTTCAGACATGGTGATGAGGAAAGACGAAGAATTAACAGATAAATAACCAATTTGGAAAATTCAGGCTAAGACCCTTTTCCTCGATTTCTACTCCTTCCTTTCTTCTTGCTCCAATTACTCTAAGAAAAGCTTCAATGGCACGATGAGACATGTTTATGGTGTTGTTTTTTCCTCCCTCACATAAGCATAACAAACCACACACACTAGGTTTGTATCAAGTGATACACATGTGATAAAATTTGAACACAAAAATGATAATTTTGTAATGTTGAAAATGACTGCATACACTAAGAATGACAGTTGACCACAGCGAAAGGTAAGGGAATTAAAAACTATGAATCAAAGTCTAAAAATATGGATGCTTTCCTCCTGGAATCCATTCATCAGAAGTCCATGCATTTACCTTGGGTCAAGAATGTTTAGGGAAGATAGCCTCTGAAATCATCACAGAGTGCCTCTAACAGGGATTACAGAGAAAGACAAGTAGATGCAGAAAACTATTAATAAGAAGAAAATATTTAAGACATATGATTGTCACTGACTTCATAAAGTGAAGTTGGAAATTTACAAAAGCTAAGCTCATAAATTTAAGGGGGGGGGGTAAAGTTAAAATAAAACTCTTGACAAATATCAGCTGACTTGCTTAAAAATTATCCAAGCTGGTTATTTTAGCTACTTAATGTCAAAGAAAAAAATGTTTGACTCTCCCTCAAATAGTTCACAGATTCATGATGTTAGATTTATAATACTCTAGCACACAGATTTGGATCAAGCTAGAAATAATATTTTTTGACTAGAAACTTAAAAATGCTAAGAACAGTAACCATTAAAGTTAAGCTATGCAGACTCCTCAAAGCTTCTTCTATCCCTAACATTCAGGAAAGCCAGACATGGTGGCTCACACCTTATAGAGTGAGATGCTGTCTAAATAAATAAATAAATAAATAAATAAATAAATAAATAAATAAATAAATAAATAAATAAGCTAATGTCCAGAGTATTTTGTGTGGGTGTATCCTTTCTTTGATTACATTTTAATGATCTTTTATTCTGATGATTACTAATTGCTAGGGATACAGTTTTTAACTCTTTATTCTGTATCCCTGTTGCTATATCATTTTGCACTTGATATACTCCATTCTCATTTTTGTCTGCCATTGGCTTCCCTAGTTCTTCTTATAGTCTTTGTTTTCTTTGTTGCTACAACAAAGCAGAAAGCAAAATACCTTCAAAGTCATTCTTCCACAACAATGATCACCTTAGCAAATGTACATTAAGCTGGCACTGTACTAGACTATAGGCTTCACAGAGAGCTGGGCACATATGGTCCCAGGCCTTCTGTAGCTTAACATTCTGGATCAGATAAAAAAAAAAAAAAGAAAAGAAAAGAAAAGAAAAATTACATCCTTAGGCCAAATCCAGCTTGACATCTTTGACATCTCTACATAGATTTCTGTAATTAGATTTTGTGAGAACACAGACCTCCAAAATATTTACATCTTGTCTATAACTATTCTTGGGCTACAATGAAAAAGTTAAGTAGTTTAGAATATTTGCTCCCAGACTCTTTATAGAGAATGCTGATGGACTCCAGATTCATCTCCAACTGGTTCAGCCTATCCTTTCTTGGCTTGGAAAGTATGCCATTGATTTCTTGTGGTTCAGTGATTCCATTCACAGAAATGGACACTTGCTTCAATTTCAGCCACCGTTTCTATCTGCTTGCTTAGCTTAGTCACACACACACACACACACACACACACACACACACACACACACACA